TCGACTTTTGTACAGAATGTATTAGTGCATAATTTCAAGATGTATGTACATGTATTTCTGTGTCAAGTATTGATAGCTTAAACATGTTTTAACTATTTGGATGTTTTGTGTGCAGTAACCTTCACAACTTTTGCTAAACTTATTCATATATGATTGCTAATTTTATAAATGACAATACTTCTTTCCTTTGTCAAATTAAAAAATGAGGATGTGTTTATATCAAATTTCACACCTCACTCTCACAAAATACATTACACAGACATCATGTTTCTTGATTAATATATAAGTATGTGTTTTGATGTTTTGAATGCACTTTTTCTTAATTGTAATTATGATGCAAAATTATTTACCTTTATCAAAGGCACATTATGCCTCAAAAACAAATAAATTAAATAATGGTTTAAGAGAATGTAAGATCCTTTTTATCTGAATAAAATAGCGATAAATCTAATGTAGTAAAATGTAAGCAAAGTAGTATTTTAACTTCCTTTCATACAAATTACTAATTCACAACAACTATACATATTGCCAAAATGTAACAGATAAAATAGTTCAGGTCATTGGCCAGTGAATAACGATATGGATACCATAAAACTATACCAAAATTTAAAAAAAGCTTTAGAGAAAGGAAGATAAAAGGTTTTCTCAGGCATAATGGGCCTTTAAGAAAAACATAATCAATTATAGGTGTTATAAAAATGTTTCAAAATTCGCGACAATTTCAATTATTTAAGCGCATTTCCATCTATTTTATGTTACAAAGATGAAACAGAAGTTACCAAAATACTAGTATGTTGTTTTTATACATTTTTGTGTAAATTAATTATGATAAATAAAACATTTAAATGATATTTTTTCTTAATTGATTGATATACTGAAATTTGAAAATGTTTGTATTTGCTATACAGCCTCTTTTTTAAACATAAAATTAACATCTTTTTGAGAAAACACATACACGTTTTGATAAGTTTTTACTCCATAAACTATAGATAAACACAGTATAAATACATAACGTCATTATAACTGGCGTATTTTTAGTAAGGACCATATAAACTTGACCAACAATAGGGAGTATAGCTTTCCAAACTTTTTTTATTCAAAATAATTCAGTAAGAATTTCGTAGATTTCACAAAAAAACTGCAATAAAAGTGTTTTACCAAAACATGACTATGCTAGGTACAGAGTTAACATAATTTATTGATAATAATTGTCAGAAAATGGCAAAACATGAGTATTAAACATTAAAAAGTAAAAGCATGTTCTATTAGCACTTTAATTTTGAAAGTATTTTGTCGGACCCCATTTTTTTAACTCTATCCCTCTGTGATACATTCTCTTGTAATGATTTTTATGCCAAACTAATAATACAGCTATAATCAGCTAATCAACTTAAGCACAATTCTTCTACTTTGTGTCAAAAAGATATACTAAAAGGCAACAAAATGCAAAAACTGTGTTTTTTTCCACCTGTTAAATTTTTGGTTAATTGTGATAATCTTAAAGGTTGCTATGACATGATGTTTCTTTTCTTCTTAAAGATCCTGTATGTTTTGTAATTGAGATTGCATACCACTCTTCATTGAATTATATATGTATGTAATTATGCAAATTTGTCAATTTTCAAACATGGAAGAATATGTAAAATATTATTGCAAATATTTGTACATATTTAAGGTAATCATTTAATTATATGCATTCATTTCTTATTGGAAAAATTGACTTAGAATTTATAGAAAACTAAATTCTAATTACCTCCCTTTATTTACATGAAATATTAAATTCGGTAATATCTTTATAAATAATGTTTTTTGAAACTTACAATATCGATAAATCTTAATTTGAGCATCATAATTTGTATATAAAACCATAAAATTAATGTGTTACAGGATCTTTAAATGTATTTATATATCTGACCACAAAATTCAATTAATATATGATTATTGCACTAAAATTGTAAAATAAGGGCAAGTTTTAGGAGCTTAATAATTTTGAACGCGCTTTCTTGGGGGTTATTTTACCCCACCCACTTAGAAGCTGTACTCTTCTGTTATAAATGTGTCAGGTAATGAATTTTTATGCTTAACTTATCAAAAAATGTTCAAATGATAAAGAACATACAATTAAAACACAATTTACCATGCATTGAACTGAAATTATAAAGTAAGGGCAAGTTTTGGGAACATTGTAAATTTTTTTTCGGTTATATTACCCCACCCACTTTTGAAGATCTACTCTTACGGCATAAATGACCAGAAAATGATTTTTTTATGCTTAACTTGTCTAGCTATGTTAGACTTATAAAGTACACACACTTTAAATGCATTTTCGTTTATATTGTGTAAATACAGAAAAACGAAAGTCATCATATTGTCAAAAAATGCTATTTTTTACCACTTTTTTGGTAAACTGATAGTGATAAATTTAAAGTTTGCCATATAATTGTCATTTTTGCTTGATTGAATCATAAATTAGCCATATTTTATCTGATATTGTACAATTGAAACTACTTTGTACAAAATCCGTATGTAAAAAATCAAGAAACAAAAATTATATGGTATTTTGTAATTTATGGCGGACATATTGGTGGCCATCTTGAATTTTTGTACTTTTAGTTTAAACATATTTATTACCCGAATATTTACATGATATACAAAATAAAATACAATCAGAATACATGTATATAAAATATTCAAAGAAAAGGATGAGAACGAAAGACTAAGTCTTATAAAATTCTTCTCCTTCTTGTACTTTTGCCCGGGCTGCGTAACTTAAGAAATGGGTTTTTAGAAACTACAAACAATATGCTTTATAATGGCAATGTCTTTTTGTGATACGGTAAATTGCAATAAAACCCCGCTATCTCTTGGACTATACAGTTATTTTCTTCAAAATGAGCAAAATGATCTGTAAGGAGTTAAAGAAATGTTAAAAAATCACAATATCGTCATTGTCACTGTAAAAGATTTGTAAATATTACATGTATGGATAACATTTTGTTTTACCTTTATCCAATACAAACTTTGATAATTATGATATAGGACTCTTAATGGAAATTATAGTCTGTTAAAAGAGATATTTGAAATAGCGCAGAGAATGTTGTAAAAAAACTTGTATTTCCAATTACGGGTCTTTAACATTAAGATTTTTTTAGTTAGATCATAAGGCTCACTTTATTAACGTTATAATAACATTTATGGAAGAAATTTATTGAAAAGACACTTACTAATATCATTAAATGAATGTGCATGGTGTGAGCCCATGATTATAGTCAAGTGAGTATGATCTGCTTTAAACGGACATGATCAAAATAAATTTTGCTTTTTTAGTGAGAGTTCTACGGCGGCACAAGGATGACCTTTGTTTTTTTTTATTTATCTCGTGCGCACGAGATACTATGTCATTGCCACGAGTTTCTAAGTCGCGGGCACGAGATAAATTAAGTCGTGGGAACGAAATGCTATGTTGTGGCTACGAGTTACTAAGTCGTTGGCACGGGATCATTAGGACGAGGTCACGAGTAACAATGTACTTAGTCGTGGGCACGAGATAATTAAGTCGTGGGAACGAGCTACGAGTTACTTAGTCGTGGCCACAAGATGACTAAGTCGTGGCAACGAGATAATATGTCGTGGCCACGACTAACTTAACCGTTGCCACGAGATAATTAAGTCGTGGGAACGATATACTATGTCGTGGCCACAAGTAACTAGATCGTGGCAACGAGATAATTTAGGCATGAGAACATGATACTTTGTCGTGCCCACGAGTTACTGAGTCGTAGCCATGAGTTACTAAGTCTCGGTCGCGAGATATTTAAAGCGTCGGAACGAGATACTATGTCTTGGCCCCGAGTTTCTTAGTCGTGACCACGAAATAATTAAGTAGTAAGCACGAGATACGTTGTCGTGGCTACGAGTTACTAAGTCGTGGCCACGAGATAACTTAGTCGTGTACACGAGATACTATGTCGTGGACACGAGATAATTAAGTGGTGCGGATGAAATACGTTGTCGTGGTCACGAGTTACTAAGTCGTGGCCATGAGTTATAAAGTCGTGGTCGCGAGATAATTTAAGCGTGGGAACGAAATACTATGTCTTGGCCCCGAGTTACTTAGTCGTGGTCACGAGATAATTAAATGGTAAGCACAAGATACGTTGTCGTGGCTACGAGTTACTAAGTCGTGGCCACGAGATAACTTAGTCGTGTACACGAGATACTATGTCGTGGCCACGAGATAATTAAGTGGTGCGCACGAGATTATTAACCAATCAAATTACCCTATTATATGTATATGATTTTTTTAACCTTAGAAAATTCCTGTTTAAAGTTTTATATGCATATTTTGAAATATGCGTTTCCTGAGAAATTTCTCACAGTCTTCTGGAGTTATTTAACAAAACGCGTTTGAAATGTGTTAGAAAATGTGCAAATAACTGTGTCTTTGGCCATTTGTATATATTATAAAGTCATAGGCAAAGGTAACATTAAAAATAAGCAACATTATTTAAAACAAGATTTGGCTCTAATGACTGCACAATAGCATAACATTTTACTCTGTGTAATTTAGTTATTATTAAATAAGCGTAAATTATACGATTGCACCACTTACAATAAGTACATCTCCTTAAAACGTAAGACATATAATGTAATTGGTTCCTACTTGTTCGAATAAAGAGTATTCTTTTTTTTGAGAGGCAAGAAAAAGCAAACATCCAATTTGAAACTAAGTGCAATAAAGTGCCCACTTAACATAATTGAAAATGAAACACGCACAAAAGAACAATAAAGGCTCTTTAGATTTATGAATATAAAGAATGTATGACGATAACTTTTATTACCATTATTCCAATGAATATTGAACAAACGGTATCAACCTAAAATTAATTCTTATCAATAAAGAAGTGGGATTGTTTCAAGTTGTTTAGAAAATAACCATAGATCATATCAAGACGAATCGTGTGTACTAGTTTTAAGATAGGTTGAAAACAAATAGGAATATGCAGTTATTTGGCAAAGTAAACGTTTTTCTTCTCATGGTATATGTCATTGGTTTGACAAGTTCAACAAAGGAACTTGATCGATTAAAGTCAATTGTCAAACATTTAGAAACAAGACTTAACTTCGAATTTACACTCAGAGACGAAGATATTGCTGAAATAACATTGCGACTGAATGACATCAATAAATTGTTAAATGAAACCATTGGAAAACAACAACCCATTCCGTCAACGGCGACAAAAACTGGTGTGATTGATTTTGAAACAGTGGATACATTGGAAGAGGATATAACGAGACTCAGGGCTGCGTTCACCGAGGAAAAGTCTGAGGCTAAAAGGTTCCGACGGGAAATTCCAAGGATTGAAAACAATCTTATATCCCTCAACAAAGATGTTAAAAACTATTGCAAAGTCGCTGTAAATAATACTGATCAATTATTAAGCAGTTTTGAAACGGTCAAACATGTGTCAGAACACGCTATTATAACGTCTGAAAATGACCGAAAAGTGTTTCAAAATATGGCTAAAAAGGTTCAACAAAATAGTAAACAAATTGAAAACATTGAAACTCTAATAACTAATTTATATTCGAAAATGGAGTATTTATTTTATCCTACCTCCTGTCGTTCTTTAACAGATATGGGCAATGCAGGTAATGGAGTAAAAAAAATACGACAAGGTTTTGAAGTTTTCTGTGACCAAACTACAGACGGTGGTGGCTGGATAGTATTTCAAAGAAGACTGAATGGAGAAACAGATTTTTATCGTACCTGGGCTGAGTATAAACACGGCTTTGGTGATCTAGATGGTGAGTTCTGGCTTGGCAATGATCATGTAAGTTTACTGACATCAGATGGAGTACACGAACTTCGAATAGAGATTGAAGATTTTGAGGGAAACAGTGCATATGCTAAGTATAGTAAGTTCAAGATATATCCGGAAGAAAACAATTACAAACTGGAGGTGAGCGGATACAGTGGAACTGCTGGAGATTCTCTTAAACGTCATAATGGAATGATGTTTACAACGTTTGATAGAGAACATGATAAATCGTCGAGTGT